ATATATATATATATATATATATATATATATATATATATATATATATATATATATATATATATATATATATATAGAACATGAAAGATCTAGATTTTAGATCATGGCCCCAGAACATAAACAGCCTTTTCTATCAACTTGTTAAGCTTCTTTATGTCTTTAGCATCACAGCATGATGCTGCCACGCTAGAAGAGGATGGCAGAAAACCTCACATTATCTACTGCAGCCTTACAGAAGATATACAGCATCTTGCTGCAAACACTGCAACAAAAATGAGTCCTGATCTTAGAGAAATCACTTTGCAAGTTGTAGGTAACTCAAAACATCTGAGTTCAACATCTAATGTCACCGCTCTGCATTTAGAATATAGTGAATGTAAGAGAAGTAAGCTGTTTGCATTTTGCATGGTTTGTGTCTCATTAAATCAGTAGAATACATAATTATACTTCTGAACAGCTTCCTTTTTTTCCTCAATAATTGAGAAATTTTGATATTTGTTGTTCTTTATAGCTAGCAACAGTTAGCGGTATACCAACTAGCAAATCTAACTGACAACAGTTTTATATATATATATATATATATATATATATATATATATATATATATATATATATATATATAAAAAGAATGAGTATTTTATTCTGCCTCAGCGTGTTTCCAATTAAACCTTACATACATTTTTTTACCATCTGGTAGGTGTGCATTCATTGTTGCGAGGCTGTTTGCCTGAATGCAGCATTTCAAAAAGTTCATTAGGGGAAGTGAGGAGTCTCTGACCATGGCTCAGTGCCCTGTTACTTCTTAGTCCCCATCGCTATATTTTGCTGGGTGCTCTACTAGTTACTGCAGTATCATCTGCATATTTATATGTCACATTACCCTTGTGCAAAATGTGCAAAAAGCGAGAAAAAGCTAAGACATAATAATATTTATTATATATGTGAATAGGTATCCCAGCATGCAATGACTAGGGACACTCAGGATAAATTGCTAAAGTTTAATCCGTTCTTTATCCTGGAATGTGGTCGTAATCATGGTTGCATTTCAAAACTGTGTTAAATAAAGTTAATCCAACTTTATACTACTCTTACTCTCTATTGTTGGCTGTCACTGTTGAAAATGATCTATTTTCAGGTATATTAACTACCTCAGCAGTCTATGTTCCTCAGGGCAGGCATATGCTAGTATGAAAAGTATAACACTAGTTTGCAGTCTGTGGCCTGCAGTTAAAGCCGCTCTTTTAGTCTACCTACCATGATTATGGGGTGGGTTCTTAAACACAGTTGGAGGGAGGGGGCGTTTGAAAGAAGAGTTGTAAATGCTGGACAATATTAACAGATTGTAAAGTCTGTTACCCCACAGTCCACTGTGGTACAAATTTGCAAAATGCAGCATTTCAATTGCCTTTAGTGGTATACATAGACAAACTTTGCAAAATAAAACAAATGGAAAAATCTAGGTCCTTTCTGCAAAACATTGAACATTGTTGTCCAAAAGGTAATAATCTGTTGAAGTGGCATTTTTTATAAAGAGGTTCGAGAATGATTACAATTGTGCAGGCTATAAAAAAAAGTATAAACATACAACTAAAGCCTTTCTCCATTATTTGAAGTCATTTGTTTCTTTTTTTTAACGCAATAACTTCCAGCTGGGTGGTTGTGTATATGCTTACACCATCTGGGTGGACTGCAAGGCTTCTTTGGGTGGTGTGAGTGTGTATTAGTGAGACAGCATGCTTTGTGTGAGATAAATGTCCTGCCTCTGTGTGAAAGGGAGTGCCAGCGGTGGGGACAGGGGAAGAGGGCAAAAGATAACATGACACCGCTTTAAAAAGTCGATCCCAGATCAGCGCAAAGTCCTCATCGAAACCATGCAGATCCAAAAATGGGTCCTCCTTGAACGGATTCATACCCTAATGCAGAGATAACAAGCTTGCATGTAGTTCACCAGAAAGAGAGTGTATCACCGAGGGATGAAGAGCCAAACCTTGTGTATAGCAGTGTGTTCATCTGTCTGGACTAATTGCACCCAATAATTGATGTCACACACCTAAAGAAACTGAGACAAAGCTGGATAACTAAACCCAAACATATAGCAAACCCCCTGAAATCCATTTATTTACACCAAGGCAGGTAATTGGACAGTATGTCAATTAGGAATGTATGCCCCACATAAAGCATTTCTAACATTGACCAAAGGACTTTCAGCTAATGTTTGCTTAGCTCTGTCTATTTGACCGAGGTAATGGATAAATGAGCCTAACCTTTGACCTCACGTGAGCTTTTTCAAAACCATTGTAAGAGAGAAGATGTCACGCAGGACAAAGTTAGCTCCCAGAGAGAGGTGAAAGCAAAGTAGGGCGGGGGGAGGGGGGCTTGGTGGGTTTCTTAGTTTTTACAGTAAATGACGCTGATGTCAGCAGATTCTGTGGTGTGGCTTCACAACAAGCATGCCACCTTCTTTTCTGTTATTTAATCTACAGAATGACGCTGTTTGGTTTGTGATAAGGAAGCTGAATCTGAAAGCAGTTTGTAATCAAGATGCAAATTGATTAGAAACTGTTGTGTAGTCAGCAAATTTTAAATTAGCAAGAGATAGCTGAAAAAGTTTTTGATAAAAATAAACATGTATTATTAATGCCAAAAGTATTTATATGGCATATACATGTAAACTACAGTTAAGCCAAGTACTTTCCAACTAAATAAACAATCTTACAATAGCACATGGAATAAAACTTCAAGAATAAAACACACAATGGTTACGGTAATTAGTATATAAAAACATGCTGAGGGTAGCAACATCTCAGCAGATTTCAATTAGTTGTTAAAAAGATGTTAAACACTATATTTTGGAAAATAGTCACTTAGCCTTTCACATAATTTAATTTAGGTGTTGTAATCACTCAGGTCCTTAGATATGTAGTATCTAATCCAGCAAATATGCAAGCAGACTGCTTCACAAACCATCTGCATAATCTATAGGTACATTTTTGAATGATCTCTACTTTACGGAGTAATTTCTCAAATCTAGACTTAGATTTATTTTGTTACATTAGAGACGTACATTTGTACTTTTACTTCTTTACATGAAATCTGAGACATTGTTACCTGATAAAAATAACGATATGACCAGAAATGATCATGAAAGGATTTGTTTATGCTGAATCAGCAGGTAAACAAGAGAAGAGGAAGTGAGTTGTTGAGTTCTGTTTGCCCTGGTCCACTCTGCTAACTCACTACAGGGTTGTATCCCTTTTTTTGTGTTCTTTTCTTTTCTGTTCTTTTTTTTTTTGTTTTCCTCTTTAAAACATAAATTTATTTTTTTTATATCCCTAAATGGATAGTAAGGAAAGTTATTTATACAGCAACTTTTTATTTTAAATATTCTCATAAAAGCTTCTACATTATTGATGGTAAAGTGTGATGAAATTTATTTTATTTGCTTGTAGGTTATTATGACACAAAGCACTTTTGTTTTTCTATCCTGTCTAAGACAGAGTGGACATATCTCATTATATTCTTCAATTCTTAAAGAAGGAACTTTTATTTTAAAGGCAGATTTAAGTTGAAGATGTATGTCGTTCTCCATGATGGCTTTTGCTTTATTCTTCACCAACCTATTTGAAAAAAATGTATGGCTAAAGCAGGTTTTTAACTAAGTCTTAGTACTTTATTATTGAACAATATTCTAATTTACTTAAGTAATTTTCTTTGAATTATTTTGATGTTTATCAAAAAATGTTAGGTGGTTCCAAGTACAGAGAGCTTAAAGGTATAGAGGACAATCTTTTTTTTCCAGATGGATCATTTAAATAAGTGGTCGTCCTAATTGTCCATCATTCTGGTGACATGTTTATGTAAAGCCGTCCTATATGCTGATCCAGTTAGCTACCTTTTTCTGCACATGCACACTCACAGGTGTACATGTGTGGTGAGCTATGGTTTCAGACTGTCATTGAAGCTCACCTTTCTCACCATGGTTCTTTGAAAATGGCCGAGGGTTGTAAGAGAAAAACATTCTATGAAATGTATGAGAGGAAAAGTAAGGCCTCAGAAGAGGCAGATATATCCCATAATGCTTTGTGCGCAGAGATCTCCTCGCAAGGCATTATGGGATTTGCTGTCACAGAGGCCTGTTGTCACCATAGGCTGCCACTACCTGACAGCACCGGCTAATTACAAAGATGGTGCAGGCACAGTGCGATGGAGGAGGAGTTATGTAATCAACAGGGAGCAAAAAGCAGTGATCATCTGTCCTAAAGGTCGGTTAACTGAGTTCGCTATAAAGTCCACTATACAGTCCCTGATCTATATAGTGATTGAAGGATTTAGAGGTTAGAGCTGACTTTCGGTTACAAAACTTTTCAAAAATTCATGAAAATCCTCCACTATACCTTTAATGTAATGAGTGTCCATGGCCAAATAGATGCATTAGAACCATATATCATCAAGTGCAATGCAGAGCACCGGATGCAGTGGTTTGAAGCATGTCGCAACTGGACTGCAGTCCAGAGCCGAAGAATGACAGAGTGACTAATCCTGCCTCCCTGTCTGCCTTCAACTGGATACGTTTTGGTTTAATAGATAATAGTATATCTCTGATTGCGCTGTGTTAAATGTAAGGGTTGCTGCAGATATTTGATCTAGAGGCGGACTTGGCTTTTGGTTTGGGTCAATAGTTTTTTGAGGCTTCGAACTCCCAAAGCATTTTGGATCATTTCCAATTTATAAACTTTATGGGACTAGTTTTAGAAAGGTCTCTTACCGTTTCAACATGACTGCGTTACAGAAGACATTGGCAGGTTTTACAGATTACTGACCACTGAAAACCCTTTGCTGTGAATCAGAGTAGGGACTCTGAGCCAGGCCTTTCATCAAATATCAGTGTATGGACTCAGAAATTAGCTTTGAAAAGAATAATACAATATAAAAAAAAAAACTTATTTATTTTGCTAAAATTTTGCAGCTTTACCAAACAGGTATTGAAACAATTCTTTCTTTGTGTGACACTAAAGACACCCAAAAAAACCTCAAACATACTCACAATTACTGATTCCAAAAAGGCAGTTTTATTGCAGTTTTAAGTAATGCAATGATTTCCAACTTTTAACCAGAATGCATTATATTGAAATGTTGATGCAGGAAAAATAATCAACTTTTCATTTGAGGTGTGCACAAAGTTACAAATAAATGTTATCTTTATTGCAGCAGCATAATTTAAAACAAGGAAATATTAGAAAGAACACTTTTGATATGAGTAGAATTATTTAATCAGGAAAGGGTACATAAAGACATAATTGTCTGACAAGAACAAGTGGCACAACTATATGTACTAAAAAAAATGTTGCGATAAAATGTGTCTTTCAATGTAGGATCAGGTTTTTGTGGCATAATTTAAATCAATTGCTCCAGTGATAAAAAACAAAAAACATATTTATCTTGTCTTAAAGTAAACATTTTCTACAGGCAAAGTGGTTTGTTAGGAAACTCTGCCAGGGAAAACGTCTTTCTTTCTAACAAGCGCTAACACAAACATGTGGAGTTTATCTAAACACTAACTGGAACTATATGCTTTGGTGAACTGGGCCAAATATTTATCTTTTTAGCAAAAAATATTCCAGATGGGATAGATAATAGAAATAAGTGTATGCAGAATCAGTGATTTTTCACCACTGTTAAACATGGGAAAGGATCTGTGATGCTGTGGGCATGTTTTTCCCCCAAAAGGACTTAGGAATGCATGAATACCAAAATTTGACAAGAGACAGAGGATTATGAAGGATCCATAGAGATGTTGCAAAAAGGAATGTTTCAAGGAACTCTCCCAGTGAATGCTCCAAATATGTGAATTTGTATAATAAAGGGACTAGTGGTCTCCATTTGCCAAGAATTTTATTTTGCAAATTATTAGACAGGGTGAGACCTTAAGATTTCCCTTTGAATCAATGTACTTATATTAAAAGATAGATTATTCAAACATTGCAAGGAAAAATGTAATGAGACAGAGAAATAATGGATTATGCTGCTGCAGTCAAAGTAACATGTATTTGTACCTTTTTTTTTTTAAATATATCTACCAGTGCTTGTCAGGAAATATGGAGAGTGCCCAACATCATGAAGCCAGTCAGGAAATTAAATTAAGATAATTATTGGGAAAAGACACAGACACATGGCAGATCACGTTTTTAAGACATTCATCCTGCATAGTATCAACGCACATTGTAATGATGCTGAGGCAGCCTCACATGTCCCCTCTCAGCTCCTACAATCAGCATCTAACCTGGAGTTTGACTGAACAAGACTTTTGACATTTATTTTCAGAATATTATCCACTGTTTCTTTTTTCTCTATTCAAATAATCTTCACAATGGACCACTAGGCTCATAAAAAAAAGCTCTAACCTCACTCTAATCTCTTATAATAGTGTATTGAACCATGATAAAAGGAAGCTTATATGCCCTAAAATGTTACAGCAGCTCAGCCAGTTTGCCTGTTTAAGGCAACAGATAGAATGCACAGACGAACTGATAAAGACACAGACTCGTTGGACTCAACGGACAGGAACGCACGGTGATGACTGATGGTGATACGGGACTTTATCTGCACAGAGTGTAGCGCTGTGATGTAAGAGAGGTGAAGCATAAAGCAGCTCTGAGATACAGTGGAGCTGAAGACTGAGGCAGTACAGCAGCTTTTTCTGCATCCATACCGGAAAGTCTGAGACAGTCAGGATCCTCCTCCACACACGTTTGATTTAATCGAGAGAGAGAAAGGCTCAGAGTGTGAAGGTAAAGGGTCTGATGAGAGCACACATCAGCCAGGAGCAGTCACTTGTTTTTGTTTTTTTACTGAATTGTCTGCTTTTCCAGTGTATATTTGGTGCCCCCTAGCTGGGAGACAGAGCAGGGCTGTTCTCTGTGCTGATATTGACCAAGCACTCACTTGATTTGAGGCTAGCCAGAGATTTGGTGCTTGGAAAAGAGGACAAAGACCCACACAGGCCCATCATGGAGGGGGTATAGTCCTTTTCTGGAACAAAAACATACACAATATAAAAAAACAACTGCAATTAGTTGTATTAATTGTCAATAAATATAAAATCTGTAATTATTCATTCACAGTTTTAAAATATAAAAGGTTCTGAAGTGTCACCTGTGCACCAGGCTCCTCCGTTCTGTTTGCCTGCGACTCTTTGGGAGTCAGAATCCAGGCTGACCTCTGCTGAGAGCAGCTCTGTGCTCGGGAAACTCCTCCTATAGGGTCAACGAGAGGACAAGAGCGGATGACATTCAGCAGCATGACACCAGGCGGGCCTAAAATCACATTCATTTCAATTAACCAACTGACAAATTGAAAGCACTCAATATCCCTGTTCGCAGCCTTTTCCCTTTTTTGTTTTTTTCAGTGTGTGCCAGAGGATTTCAATGAGAAAATTTGTAAAAATTCAACTTTTAGTAACAGACTTAAACAAAAAAAGATTTAAGACAAAAGGCTGTAAGAAAAAACAGAATCTTACACTATTTATTTCTTTGTAAAAGTCCAATCTATTAATTTTATTTATTTTTGCTAAAACTTCATTGCCAGTTTTGATTGCCACCTTTAACAACTGTTAATATAACTAAAAAATGAGAAGCTTAGTTTTCCTAATAACTGTGGAGGCAGATTAAGAGTATATATAGAGGTGAAGAAAACTATGTAAAAAAAGCTGGAACGTTCTTAAAAATAAATGAACTAATTTTACCACCTTACAAACTCTTGTAAGGTGGTAAAAAAAACTAACTGCTGACTAAACTTAAACTGTTAGGTGAATTTGCTGTAATGCAAAGGCCTGATCTTCGCGCAATCCATACAGAAAGCACTAAATTGCAGCATTAATACATTGGATAATCTAAAAAGACTGCTTATGCAAATGTTACGACATGAAAACCGGTTTGGTTTGAGCAGATTTCATATGATGCTGGAAGTTTGAGAGTGGACATAAAAAGAAAAGATGAGCCCATGTAGTTGAAGATAATAAATATGATAATCTTTCTTAAAATAATTATGATAATAAATGTGATAATGTACTCCACACAGGCAGCCTTTCAGGCTCTGTGATGGATGGTTTCTAAAGTTGTTGTCATTGTTTTTGTTTAGATTTAATAGTAGAGCAATTGTCAGCTGTCTTGTTGCTTTAACTTGTGCCAGCCTGTGCAGCTGATTTTTCCCCATTATTATTATTCTAGTCTGGTTATTTTAAATGGTTCAAATATTAGATTGGATTAGATTAGATTCAACTTTATTGTCATTACACAAGCACAGGTACAAGGCAACGGAATGCAGTTTAGGTCTAACCAGAAGTGCAATAGCAGCAAGTGCAGGATAAATAATGGTTCCATAAATACAGGACATGGGTTTCTACTGAATGAGTATAGAGATCAATACCATTATAAAAAATGAATATAATATATAGATCATTAGTGCTATGAACTAAATTTACAGCTGGATATGTACTGAATATAATATACAGGTGGATATTACTATAAAAGGGTTTTTACAAAATATGTTTACCATGGTCCATATATTTTATTCTACGTAACAGAATATCTCTACATTGTCTGTCATTGTACCAAAATTTCCTTCGTAGCGACAATGACCCTTGAAATGTTTGTGTGTGACTTTGCACCTGACTTTTAAAAGTGTTAAAAAAGGTGCAAAAACTGTGGTGAAGTTTTGGGTAAATTTGGTAAATGTTTATATTTGCATATCATCCACCCATAATATTGTGCAGTTTGGTCATTAGAATATAATCTGCAAGTTGACGAAGGCGTCCGTCATAAAAAGGTTTTGCTGATTGTAAACACAATATGCCTTCTTTGAAGATCTGCTTTGTGCATACAAATATGTTTTTAGGAGTTTTAAGACGCGCGAACCCTTTAAAGATCAGGCCCTCAGAGTTTGTAATAAGCTAATGTTTACAGCTTTAATTCATGCCAAGGTGAGCCTAATGAGTTTAATATTCTATGTCTGGGTGTGATAAAGAACGAGGGATCAACAGTTGAATTAAAAAAAAATAATTACTAATAAAATTATTTAAAAAATCTTTGATTAGTTTGACGCAAACCTAGATTATATATGATCTACATGTGATAAAAATTGTTTTTCCTTGATTTCCTTGTTCCCATAAATAAGCAATAAATTCATGTTCCTGTATTAAGTTTTACCACAAGGCAGCGAGTCAAACCTGCGGAACAGCTTCATGTCATCTTGGATGCTGTACGGCTCCAGGGTTGGCCACTGGTTGATGAGGGGGATTGACATGTTTTTGACCAGGTGGTTAGAATCACACGGGATCAAGCTTGTCCTAATGCACATGTGGATAAAACATCAGGTAAATTAAATAGTTTTTTATTGCTTGTGAAATAAATATGGGTAAAAACACCATTACAGTGGATTAACAGTTGGTGGTTAATCAAATGGGCTTACAGTTGCTCCTGCAGCTCCAGGATAACAGCCTCTAGTTCCTTCTTTTCCCGGTGGCTCTGGCTTTGTACCTCCTCCAGTTTGGTCTTCAGCTTCTTGTTTTCTGCCTCTGTGTTCTTTAACTGGGACTCACGTAATCGCACAAGCTCCTCCAGGTAACCCTTATAATATATTTCAAAATATTCTTTTACAAAAACTACACACCTTTTCATGTGCTTTAATTAGTTATTTGAAAAAATGTCTTAACACCTTCTGAGCGTTGACGATCTTAAACCTGTGCTCCATTTTGCGGCACTTTGAGCTCCAGCTCTCGTCATCGGTGACCAGAGGGACGTAAGGGTGTTCGGGGACGCTGTCGTCACTGCAGCTGCTGTCAACACTCCGTCTATCGTCATCATCATCACTGAAGTATTCATAGCTGAAAAGAAAGGAGCCACTTGATTTACTAAAGGGTAAAACATATTTAGATGTTAAAATTTCATTATTATTATTTTTTTACTTTTTATATATTTATTATCTTTTTGAGTTCCCTGTGTTCTCTGTATGGGAATCCTGTTTAAAGTAAAAATAATTACCTAACAGAAACAGTGATTTTCTCACCTGAAAAATGAAGTAACAGAGCAAAACATTAAACATTCCCTCTGCCTGTCTGAAAAAATCTTGCTTTGTTACTGTAGTTACCTTTGTGTAAATTTCAAGTATGGAGTGTAGTCAATCACTGCTGGAGATTTCCCATCCAGGGCCTCTCCTTTCAGACAGAAACTGTGGGAAGAAAACCACTTAAAATCAAAAGTAAAAACAATTTTCTCTGTGCAAAGGTTAAAAACCTTCATTACCTAAAATCTATGGCTCCTAGACCTATGAGCATCCCAGTTAGCACCGTGGACTCTTCTCTTAGCATTATGGCTCCTTCTGAATAGAACCTCCTAAAGCACAAAACAACTATGAAGGTTTATGTTTAATTTAGGGGGGGGGCAGTGTAATGCTGATGTCAGGGTGTTGAGCTTGGAACCTGGTTGTCCTGCTGTCCCTCAGTGCAGTTGCAATATACTCAGAGAGCCTCTTCTCCATGAGGGCGACTCTCATCCAGGCTCGACCCTGAAAAAATGTAATTGAATCCAAATAAGCTACTGTGCACAGCAAACATTATTATAAAGAAACACACCAACACAAATATCAGATGTGAACTTTAGCCTACATCACTGCCTTTCTACAGGTTATTCGTGGCTTCCTTAGGGCTGTGGATTTAGTTAAAGGAATTTCTATTCCCTACCAAGTATCTTTACAAAAAGAGAAGCTTATGAATTTGCTGGTTAGTTACATCGGGTCAGTTAGTTAGTTATGTCAGGTTCAATTTGCTTGGCTTTGTTTTGGTCCACTTTATAAAGCCTTGAACTAAATGCCATTTCTGACATTTTGAATTGAAAACCTTCCTGGATGGGAAGGGAAACGTCTTCAAACTTGGAAACAAATTCCAGTGGATTTTTTTTTTTTACTTTTTTGGAATATATTGGGTGGTTGATTTGAAGTCCTGGCAGCCAGCTGAAAGTGTTAAAAATATATTGCATCATTAATGCAACCTTTTCTGTCTCTGAGCTGCAAATTCTTACATCAGTGAGATTTAACAGCAAAAAGTAAAAGTGGTTGTTATTGATATATCGGTTGTCAGTTGTCATGACTGTGTGGCTCCCGTCTATGTGACCTACCTTTGCTCGGGATGTGTTGATGTTTTCCATGCTTTCTATGCTGCTGATGCAGCTGTTGGGGACTTTAGCACATGCCAGGCGAATATAGTCCCAGTAACTCCTCTGTCCATCAAACCAGCTACTAGAGCCTATAAAATAAAATATTGCTCAGTAACATGTGTGCTTATGCAGAGCACTGCCCCGCTTTAAGTAAAGATGGTCAGTATCTTACTTATTTTGTCAAAAATGTAACCTTAAGTTAAGCTCTGACACACTGGTTTCTTACCTTTAAAACGGTGACTAAGAATGTGTTCAAGAACTGCTGCAAAATTGATGAACTCTTCAGATGAATCATCAATGGGTTCTGCTGTGTACTTCTCTAACAGGGTCTTTACAGAAAACCTGCATGTGGTGAAAATTTAAAAACATGGAATAAGGAAATAGATCTCCCAGTTGGAAAGAAACTATAATATCAAACACTAATTAAAATCTGACTGTAATGTTATCTGCTGACATTGCAACATTCTTTGACTGAGAGTAACATTCTCTCATTACTATTGTTCTTTTATCAATCATCACGATTTGGGGTGTTAAAGGTTGTGAGATGGACGAGAATGCAGACAGGAATCCCTGGCATTGAAAAAGAAGAATTCAGGATGGAAGGCTGAAACATCAGAAGCTTAAAGGCTGAGACAGGGATAGGAAATGTCATAGATAAACCAAACAGAGGAGATTTGGAACCGCTAATGCAGAATGAAAGCAGGGAAACTGAGGAAGAAAGACTAATTGACCAACAGGTAGGCGAACTAAAAAGAAACCGCTATCGGCATCTGAAAGGAACAATTACAGAGGTGAGTGGGGCCCTAAGGGATGGCTTCTGATTCTCTGCGACAGACCAACTCAGTCAACTAACCTCAGTTATTTGACATAACTGAGTGGGGAACTGGCGAGTCAGACAAAAAGTGAAACACAGTGGTCAAGTTAGATTAATAGGCTAGCTGAAGATTAAGATTAGCTTAATCTCACTTAGGACACCAGTAAGGGCAACATTAAAACATTGCTCAGTTGAGGTTGCCATCTTGCTGTTATGCTAAAATATTTCATATATTTAAGATTTACAATTCATCTAATACAATATAAAATTATGAATAGTTATTACCCAACAGCAGAGACTCTCAAGAAAAGGTTTGGATTTGAGGTTGATGCCTGCGTTTTTTGCCTTAGAGTCACAGTTTTTTGTTTTTTTTTGGCAGAACATGAATATTTGGTTGAGTACCAAAATATAAAATGTAACATCTTTTAAAATAAATCAAATATTAACATACAAGAATAACTTTGCGAAGGATATATCTGACACGGTCAATATTATCATGATTCTGGCAAGATATAATATGCATGTATATAAAGGGAAAAAACAAAAAACCTTCATTAACATGTTTTAAAAACAAACTAAAAATCTTCTATTCCTCCTTATCTTTGTTAGCCAACAAATATGGACATAAACAAAAAAAAAAAAAAATGTAGTGACATGTGACAGTTTCTGGTACCTTGACAAAATGCTAAAGTTAACTTGATGCATTTCATTGCTGAAATGGGTCTGTCTCTGTTAAGTGTTGATTTTAAATCCTACATATGTATTTATACTTTTGGAGATTGGTTTTGTATGCTTACGCTGGTTATAATGTAAATGCTTGTTAATTTATGCATTTGCTTTCCTTTACCTTGCATTAGTTAGTTTGATCTCCTGTATCTAACTATTTTATTTCTCTCTTTCCTAAGAATGCAAAGTAGAGATTTCTTTTTTGAACATGTAATTACTGTTCAGATCATTAAAGCTGGTAAAAAACAAAATCTTGCTGTTATGCTATCAGAAAAGCAGAAAGGCACTGAGAGTGACGCATTCTAAAGTCCCGCCTCCCGCACTGCGATCGGCTCGACCAATCAAAGGCAGTTTACCAGCCAGGCTAAAAAATCTTTGCCTTCTATCCACCTTGAGGAAAATACCAACCAAGATGGCCGAACTGTGATGCAAGCAAACAGAAGCACAACTGTCAAAAAGTTGTTTTTTTTGGCCTTACTTGAGCAGCAGCAGTAGTTTTGTGTAAATTTATAAAATGGTTTATATTTACAAATTGGGCTGCTTTACTTGATCAATGTTTTCTCACAAAGAAAGTAATTCTTGCAAGCCCAGTGATCTGGAGAAGGAACCTTTAGTTGGAGCCTATATATTTAAAAGAAATCAGATCAGAGGGTGTGGGGACGGTCCAAGCGGTGTCACAACTAATTGGTCTTGGGTGTAACTTTAACATAAGAGGCTAAACACAAAGTGATTAACTAATAGGGACACATAATGACTATAATTAACACACATAAATTAACCAAATATTAGAAAATCAGACTTAAATAAACAAAAAGTAAAATAATGTTGATTTAAAAAAAAAAATTAAATGGTGGTTCCTAATTTCAGCATACAAAACAATGTTGTTTCCCACAATCCTTATTTTGTTCCAGTTAAGAACCTGTGAATATACAAGGTTCATGTAACATAAACGTATTGTCGCTGAATACTTACTTATACACGTATTATGTTAAAACATGTTCAGTATGAATAAATAATAAAATAAAACAACTGCCTTAACATCAATTTCAATGCGCAAGAGCGGAAAAACTCAAAAACATTGAAAAGTCATAATTAAAAAAGTGTGCATGAGCTTGAACCCCAAAGTGTATGATTTGTGCACATGTGAAAATTATTTTAAAAGACCCCTATGTGAAATGATATCATATGATATATTGCAGGAGTATAGCCCAGTACTACTGAGAAGTGCTAACTGATCATTGATGGATCATCCTTTCTGTAAAGGAGGTCTGATGTCATCCACTTATGGTGAAGAAAAGATGGAGACTTTCAGGAAGCTGCTTACGACTCTGCTTCCTTGAGAGGTCTAAGAACTTTCTTTAGATATGACTGAAATATTTGTGTAGTTTTAAAAAGTTGATGCTTGAAAAATATGTTAACATCCTTTTTCATTACAAATATCCACTCCTAAATCTGATTACTAAATGCTTGAGGCTCACTCACAAAGATATTTTTTCCGTAAACAAAAGTTACATGGAATAATAACATTAAACATATAATATACTGAAGTAAAATGTATGTTTTCATCTATACGTGCATGAAATTAAAAAACACAGTCTGTCTGTTTAAATGGTTTGTACACGATGCCAAACAGTAGACATTGAAACGATTTCACCCTCCATTGTTCCAAAGACAACAATGTCTCATTTAGATTTGACTGGAAAATAACTGTCCAACTGTCCCGAAAATTAAAACTACAAGCAGTGAGATATAAAAATGAGTCCACAAATTTCAAGATGTCTGTGGAAATAATCTTTGACCAGATCAGAATTAAATGCATTGCACTTAAAATTATAATGCTTACAAATATTAGATGAACTCTTTTTGCTGAAACTCAGGATAAAGTCTCTATCTCTTTTAAGCTGGTTAATGTACTCTATTGTTTCATGAATCTGTAACAAAAAGTTAAAGCACATTTTCAATAACTCTTCAACTCAAATAAAAAGAACAGTTTATGATCAGACTTAAACTAGCCGGGTTTTACTGTAAAGCTCCAAACTTCATTTCAAGAGCACCAATATCCTGTTGGTTGGTGGTCATTAAAAATATGAAAATGAAAACTACAAGCAGTGAGATATAAAATGAGGCCACAAAATTTAAAAAGGTCTAGATGTCTGTGGATATAATCCTAGATCAGATCTGAATTAAACGCATGGCACTTAAAATTATAATGTTTACAAATATTAAAAACCTATTCACGCTTTGCAATTGCATTATTGCACATTCTATTACTGCAGCAGTGAATGCAAGTCAGCAATTTATACAGCTCTGTTGAAGATACTAGTACTGATTGAACTCAGATATTGTTAGTCCTGGAGGCTAAACCTAAGTTCAAGCTTTAACTGAAACTGCTATCATATTTTTTACTTTTTAAGAGATGCCCATTTCTGAGAGAAACAATACATTTGGTCAGGATATAATTATTTTAAAATGTAAATCTGCCAAGGTGAGTTCATCTTCTCAAGTAAAAAGACACTTCCTGCTATTATTTTTTTCTAGTATTTTCCAATCAAAATGAACATAACCAATAGATTAGACACACTGTCAGCTTACTGTCTTGATTATGACACATTTTGTTTTTCTAATGAAGTTTTTACAGTGAATATTTACTACACAGACATTTTCAAGGGCTGGCATAACATCCTAAACTAGTCGAGTAGTTCCGAAATGGTTATTATTGTGCTATTATTAATAATACAAGCTTGTGGTGGTGCACTTTAAAAATGCTGTGCTATTACGTCAAACAATACACTGACTGGAAAGTTCCAACATGTTCCATGTTGTTTTTGCACAGAAACATAATTGATGGTGCTCTGTTCCATTCCTCAATAATTTGAATGATTAATTAAATTTGTTAAAGCACCTTTGTGCATTCTAATGATATTTGTCCCTAACATCTGACACAGGGCATCAGTGGGTCGCATCTATGCAGTCTCTGATGAGCATCAGTGGTGTCAAAAGTACACACATTTGTTACTTAAGTAGAAGTATAGATAATGTAGTTTAAAAACACTCTGGTAAAAGTTCAAGTATCAACTTTACCTCTTTACTCAAGTTGAGGTGAAAAAGTATGTGCTCCAAAAACGTTTTCTTTTTTTTAACAGTGTCCTGTCTGGCATTGTGCCAATAAGAATAATTGTCTTGCTGCCAAAAAGAGCCCATCAGATTTTACTTTCACAAGTGGAGCAGTACGGCTATTGCCATAGTGTTCCGCTTGTTTCATGCGTATAAATTGCTTTATTATAATTATGCAAGGAGTTTTACAGATTATATAGACACTGCAATGCAAGTAGAACGGAAGAGGAAAAACAGAAAAAAAGGAGAAAAGATGAAAGAAAGAGGAGATAAAGGGGAGATAATGATAAAACATTTTCAGTCTGCTTCATCACCTGCAAAGAGATGTTAAAAGGACAGCACAACCAACATTGATATGTTACGAGACATACAATAAAGTAACACCTAGATACTATCACTGAAGTAGTATTATTTAATCTGACATGTGCTCCAAAAACTACTTCAAGTATAAAAGTATAAAATAAGCTTTAAAAAAAAAAGCTAGATCCCACTATATGAATTGAAAGCTCAATTTTACGACTAATTCGAAAAATTCTTTGAGACAGGGCCAAGGATGAGGGAGGTCTTGTTGGCCTCCGTTTCCAGATACGCTCTCGCCTGTGTCCGACCTTTCAGACATTTCAACATCTTTTTCTGAATCATTGTAGCATGGCATAGACCAGGCATCCCCAAACTCGGTCCTCGAGGGCCGCTGTCCTGCAGGTTTTAGATGTTTCTCTGCTCCTGCACAGCTGATTTTAATTGATAGTTGATTAACAGGCTTTTTCTCTACTGCAATCATCATAATCAGCTGTGCTAAAGCAGGGAAACCTCTAAAACCTGCAGGACAGCGGCCCTCGAGGACCGAGTTTGGGAAAGCCTGGTATAGACAATTCATGTTTGCAGTTTGAAGAACACCTGTTTGCTTCTGATGATTTCCTTTGGCGCCATTAGCACAAATTTGATGAATAGCTTAGCAATGAGTGTTTACATTATACTCATCCATTTACACTAGTTTTCACTAGATGTGGATGGCGCCAATGATCTGCACTGGATGGCGCCCATGACTTGAAATAAATATTTATAAACAGTGGCGTAGCCAGAAATTTTTTATAAGGGGGGCCAGGCATCCACTGAAAGTGGATAGGCGCCAGAACCTCAGGGTAAATCTACACTTTTCCAACAGGAACGAGGACAACATCCATATTTTCTAAATAAAGACAAACTATACTTTTCTACAGCCTTTTGATTACAAATAGATGCATATATTTAAACCTCAATGCTGTCTAAATGAAAGGTATAGTGGACAAAATGTCTGAGGCAAACATAATTTCCATTGTCATTACTTACCTACTTTTATCAAAAATTGTTCTGCATAACATTAATATTACATGCACTAATATCTACATGAAATGGATTTTTAAGTTAGTATTAAAGTACTGTAGTTATTTATCTATGATTTCACTGAAAACTCATTGATGACTTGCTGGGAGACATCATTTTCAGTTTACCCCATATAACACAAAATTAGGGTCTTAAAAGAGAATGCATTTTGTATATATCAACTTTAATGTTAGTATTTTGGTGTGCATATATACCTATTAATATATGAAAAATTTAAATGTTTAATAAGTTTAAACATTCCTCTTGATAGTATTATTGGAGTATTATCTGTATTGGAGGGCAGGAAAAAAAATTGTAGGGGTGGCCACAGGGGGGGCCAATGATTGGCTGAGGGTGGCCATGGCCACCTCTGGCCCCCCATCTAGCTCCGCCCCTGTTTATAAATATAAAACCGAAGCCAAGAGTAACGAGTAACNTGATTGGCTGAGGGTGGCCATGGCCACCTCTGGCCCCCCATCTAGCTCCGCCCCTGTTTATAAATATAAAACCGAAGCCAAGAGTAACGAGTAACGTTTGTTTTAAAAATGTAAGGAATAGAAAATAAAGATAAGTGTGTGAAAATGTAATGAGTAGAAGTAAGAAGTAGGAAGAAAAATAAAAAGGGTACTTAAGTACAGAAACGAAGTATTTGTATCTCTGATGAGCATTATAGGGCTTAGAGCCTTGCTCAGGGAGCTGGTGTGTCATTTTGTGGGATTTGAACCAGGGATGTTACAGCTGGCCCAGTACACAAGCATTCTGCTATAATAATCAAATGCTTATTTAAAAAAAAAAGCCAACTGTGATATTTAAAGATATATAAAGTAATATCTGTATAAACTGCTATTATGTTTATGAGCTTGAATCGGTAAAGTAATTGTAAAAATCCTCTTTAGACCCCCCTTCCCATTTAGGACAAGTTTTAATAAAACAAATAACAACAATAGTTGTTATAAACAAACAGCGGGAGGATGACTGTGTTGATTTCTGGTACAAGCTGAGCCCAGCTGATTTTAAACATGTCCGCTGTCCTTCCTTAAGGGCTTGTCTCTTGTTAGGTTACATAATTTAAAATAACGTCCTTCATTTAAACTAGTAAACCTAAATGCTATTGCCTCACAAAGTCCAGTAAGATGCATTACGAGGCATTATGAGGCATGCAGGCCTGATAATGCTTCCCCTGCACTCAGTCCCTGGGGGTGCCAGCCAGTCCTGGCTCCAGGAAGCTTGTCATCATGACAACCTCAGAGTTCACATGATAAACTGCAAAAACGATCTAGAAATAAGAAAAAATGTCTTAAATTAAGTGAATTGACTCTTAATTTAAGTAGGTAAATGAGATAATTTGCCAATGGAATGAGTATTTTTACTCTTAGAATAAGATAATTAGATAATACGCACTTGAAATAAGACAATGCAGTTATTTTTATTATTATTATTTTAAATGTAAATTTTCTTGATCCATTGGCAAAGTGTCTCACTTACCTCATCAATTCAAGAAAAAATGCACTTATTTTAAGAAAATAATGACTTATTTATTTACATTTTTTGTAGTGTGATTAAGGCAATTAATAAGACCTTAAACTGATTTAGACATGAAATATTACAATCAGAAGGTTATATATATATGTATATATATATATATATATATATATATATATATATATATATATATATATATATATATATATATAGGTTTCATCCAGGTTTAAAAACAAAGATTTAAATGAAACACACTGAAGTTTTAGTGATATTCTTCCTGTGGTTATATTTCTTTAAAAGTTAGTAAAAAAAAAATACTATTTTGTTGTTTGTTTGTTTGATTGTTTTTAGATAAACCCAATAATCAATGGAACATTTTAAGAGTATGAAGCTTTAAAAGCCTCCGTTCATTCCTGGACTGAGATGCAGCTGGATTTAAAAGTAAAAAACTGACCTGCAGACAGTCAGGAGGTTTTTTCTCTCCACTGCTACGTTTCGAGACGAAACTCTCTTGGAAACATCTCCCATAGCCATCGCTGCCTGCACATAGCCGGGCTCCATCCGACAGGAAAGAAAGGACCCCTCCCTGTCGGCCGTGGGTCCTCCACAGTCACTCGTGGCGGAGGATGCTGAGAGTCGACATCATCGCATCATCACTGCCGCGCGGCTGCGCTTTGATTAAACCGCTGGAAGGAGCCTGAAACACTTCTGCTCATCACTTCATCTGTGTTTATTATGATTCCTGCATTTAGAGCCATGACCATCATCTTTGTCTTCTCGCGATTTCTCCACCTACTGCGTGACGTAAGCTACATGCATCCCATTACGTCACATTGAGAATAACCCCATATTTAACAGGAGTTCTGCCTCGAAAAATAATCTTTTTGTTTGTTTGTTTGTTTTTAAGAAGGGTGCTTCTTAAAATTCAGGGGTGAAGTTTTTAATTCTATAATTTATTTTAAAAAATCTGGATAAAAAACAAGAAAGAGTGGGGAAATTAGATTTAGATAGATTTATTATGTCATTTTGTATACACAAGTGTAAACAAACAGAATTTTCGTTTGGAACAGCTCTCTACACTGCAAAAACAATCTAAAAAATAAGTTAAAAAAAATCTTAAATTAATTGTATTTCCCCTTAATTTGAGCAGGTAAATAAGACGACTTGCCAATAGAATGAGTAGTTTTGCTCTTAAAATAATCATCCTGCTGGCTTATTTCCCCTTTTTCTCCTCCCTATTTCCTTTTCCTTCCCTCTCATTAAGCGATAATGATTGGCCAAATGTGTGGTTTATTTTTTCCCCCCCACATTTCTCAAACATGCACTTTACTTCAGTTCCCTTCCTCTCTAAGAAACTGACAGAGGGTTGCCACTAACCCTATGGTCTGTCTTATAGAAGCCCTATGGGGGGTAAACAGCCCTATATCCACCCATCTCTGCTAGTGGCTTTTCTCATATCCCCTCTCTTGATGTAAATAACGTACATATTTTTTCACCAGTCATTTGTCTTCATGTGATGTTGAAACCACGGATTTAAATTTATCCCTGTGTTTTATATCCATTTGAAATTAAATGAAGCCTGGGTGGCAGTTCTAATGAAGAAACCAGATTCCCCTGCCTCATCATCAGAGGCCCAACTGCCTCTGACGCAAACCAGTCAGCTTTGAACCGCACCACCAGGAAGCCCAATCAGCATGCAGAATCCATTTTGAAAGTTCTTCAAATCCGCTACTCCGCCTGCTGCCTGGCCAGCACAAGCAGTGGTTGCGCTGTCTGATTTTCACTCAGATGACCCTTATTCAACCAACCTCCATCCCCTTCTCCACCATCGTAGCTAAGCTCCATCTGGATTTTGCATGGTGCTTTTTTAAAGTGTCATTCCTCCCGGACTCTTACTGCATTCCCCGTCACATCTCAACCGGTCTGGCAGAAGACCGCCATGTTGAGCCTGGTTTTGCCAGAGATTTCTTCCCAAAAGGGAGTTTTTCCTCTCTACTGTCGCTTCATGTTTGCTCATCATGGACAGATTCATGCAAACCTGTATTTATCCAAACTGGACATCTATTTTTTAGGTCCAGAGTGAAGCACAAATATCAGCTCATAGTGTCTACTGGGTCTTACTAATTCAGCTCAAGCACATCGTCTCGCCAGCCAGCAGTCTATGGACTGAACCATCTTCATCTATCTCCACTCCACCATCAGTTTCAGGCCTGGGGGGAAACATCCCTTTTCTCATACACCTGCTTATGCATATTAAAGTAAAATTCTTCTAATTGTCCCTTTCTTTCCATTTGAGTTTTTTAGATTGAAATCATAAAAGGTGTAAATTTTCCTAGAACTGCTTTTCACTGCAATCACATCTGAACATGACTGACAATTTTGCTCATTGCTATTTTTGCTCATGACTCAGTTTACTAAGATTGGATTAAAAGCTTCTCCAAAACACAGATGTAAGTCTTGCTAGAGAGGACGTGGACTTAGTTATGGATTTCGTATAAACTAGTTATCCACAGAGCCGTCAACCGATTGCAGTGCAAGAATAATACATGTATGGCCACCCAGCACATGTGACCCATAGTGATGGAAACCTTTTATTTTAGATTAGAGCAAAATTATTCAGGCAAATTTAAATTTCACAGCAATTGTAAATGATTGGTACAATACAAATAATTTGCTTTTAATTACCAAAATCTTTGCAATTTCTTTAATAATTATAGGACCACCAGCACCCAAATCTGCTTTAAATGAATCACCACATCTTGTCCAGCTCTATGGCTTAGTCTTTTGTTCAGTCTCTCAGTTCACGCAGACAATGATACAACTGGGCTCCTTCATTGCCATATCGCTTTGAACAGTGATCCAATTGATATTGTTTCATAACGTAACTGACGATAATGAAATAAATAAATTAAATAGTAGTAAAATGATGTGGATAATAACATCACAAATAATAACTGCTATAGTTATATCATTCAAGCAGTAATTCTAAACATTTATCTTGCTTCAAATATTCAAAACATTTGTTAAATTTTTAACCCTGCTTAATTTCTCCGAATTAGCAGGAAGGCTTTTGGGTGAGCAAAGGTGAGCTGTTTATCCAAATTTTTTTTTTTTTTTTTTTTTTCTGTTTTGTTTTTTTCAGTAGATCTACTGCAGTACTCCTTTATCTACAGTAGAGGGCGCACGATCTCACTTAATATGTGTTATCACAGTAAATACTGAAGTAAGGGAGACTTTTGAAGTCTGCAGTTTATTAGAAATATTATAATAGACTCCCATTTTTTTTTAGAGTTAACACATAACACAGAGTGAGTGTCATACAATATTTACAGATGCAGTCCTTTTGTCTGCTCCAAAATAACTCAGGTGTCTGTTGCTCCAAGCTGCGGCCTGAAGAGCATGTGTGACATTCTGGAAGGCCTTGTGAGGGAACTCGGGGCAGAGGTCACACCGGAGGAAGGGATAGAGGGTAAAAACCAGCGCTGTGAGTCCTGTGGCGATGATAAATGGGACCGTTCAGAAAACTTGGGCAACAACAAGGAGGGAAATTTGTCTAGACACGCCGTCTAGACTCGACTGACACAAAAAATCCTGAGATGTTGATTGATAGATTGTTATATGAGCTGGAGTTACTGTATGATGTCTCTGTAATGCATGCCATGTGGAGGTCTAGTTTTGGAAAAGGGAGCATCGTCGGAAGTACAGTTTGGACTGAGGGTTCTCCACAGGGGCCTGGAAAACCAAACACTGGGCAGATGAGATCAGGGAGAAGGGTCACCCTGGAAAATATCTCACTGTTTATACGTTCAGAGATTCTGTGGGGGCCTACAAAATCCTTTCCAGCATCACATTTTTACCGTTTGAACACAAATCTTTTCACATTACTTTAACATGAACAGTGAGTACAAACAAAATTCAATAACGGGATTCAGGGTGAGGGGAATTAAATAGAGGCTCAAAAAAACAACAACAAAGAACTGAGATTTGAGTCTTTGAAAAATTGGAAACACAAAGCTCACATTTCTAAAGCATTTTCATTTAAACTGTGAAATAGATGGAAATATCCTTTTCATTTAGCAGAAACAACATTTACTTCCATTTATCTCCAAGACCAGGAAGTATATTGATTTGAGGGATGTATTACAAAATCTTTCTTTTTTATTTTATTTTTTTTTTTCACTTTTTTTTTATTGAAGCATTCCCCTGGGCTGTTAAACAAAGTCTTCATATATATGTTTGATAACAACTGGGACATGAGGTATGAAAACTTTTGGATGGCGCCGTCTGTAATTTCCCATCCAATTCATGACTACAAAATGGTTTCTAACTCCTTCACCGATAAGGTGCATTCAGGGTCTTCTGCTCCATTGCTGCTGCAGTTATCATTCCCTGTCTCAGCCCTCCAAAGTTTCCACTCAGCCAGGTCCTGCTGGGGGCCTGAGGTCCCAGTGGTGCTGGGAACGAACACACCCGGACTGCTATGATTGAGCTGGAGAGGAGACGGAGCAGAGTGACGAGGCGGCCTGATCCCTGACCCACCAGCCGCCCCTCCTGAGCCTGCTGTCACTCCTCCAGTGAAGGAAAGAGCTCTAGGGTGACTGGCACTGATGCAGACACTTTGAGTGGTGGCATGAGACATCATGCCGCCATAGTAGCAGCTTCCACCGCCGCTGCTCGTCATCCTGGCTTTCTGTTTGAGATCAAGCACCAAGCTACGTCTTAACCAAGCCTTTTTAACCTCAGCCTGCACCTGAAAAAAGAAAAAACACAGCACATTAATCTTCTCCAACTGCTGAAAAACATATTTTAGCCAGAAGCATGTTGCAGATTTACCTCGCCGTTGCAGAAGCAGTAGATAAACGCCACAAAAAACCCCTGAAAGCAGAAAAATGTTTCATGGAAGACGATTAGCATTAATTTTTAATCCGTTTAACTGCTGCATGATCACCCACAAGGGTATTATTGTGCTCTCACCTGGGAGGAGTTAAAGAACATCTCATAATGCATCTGCACCTGCCACAGCAGCCCGGTAACCTCAGTGTAGGGAAGGGCCATAAACACTATATAATGGACCCCAAATAAAGGCATCAGGACCAGGGTGGATTTGAGGAGCTTCCTGTGGAGAACAATTAAAGGGAGAAATCAATATATAATTCTCTTCTTCTATTTAGATTATATCCGTTTTCCAGCCACAGATGGTCTGTCGCCTATTCTTTACTGAAAGGAAATAGTTACCTGTACTGTTGTCGAGGGTCCAGTTTACCATTGTTGGTTTCCCACAGTTTAGAGGCCAGAACACGAATTATATTCAGGAAAAGGAAGAAATTTACCTGCGTGGGCAGACATGAGAGGTCAAAATATATATCTATCTTTAAACCCTAGATAAGGCAACTAAAAATACAAGGTGTTTTATTTACAACAATGGCTGCCAGAATAGGAACTTGGTAAATCCACTTCAGGTTTCCGGCACTGATGTCCCAGCATCTGGAAGAAGGAAAGAACCCACTGTAGTGAACGTAACATAGTTTATTTTATAGTTATTTCCACCAATGGTAAAGAGGGGTCGGAAAGCAATTAAATAACTTCTTCAGAAGACACAGGGACAACAAAACAACAACCCTTTCTGTAGCTTTCTGAGAGCCCAAATTGCTGTTTTTCTTCTCCCTTACTTTCTGTTTTTTCCATATGAGACATCCCACACTTCTTTATTGAGCAGCATTTTTTCATATCTTTCCTATATTGTAAGAAAGTAAGAAAATATGGCCTCTATGTATGTAATACATAATCCCAGGAGTAAACGATCTCACATTAATCTGTAGTTCCACCCTGATTAATTTATAAATGTAAAAACTGACTAAAAATGATACGGATGAATTTATAAAATAGGAATTAGAAAATATATTCCTGTGAAAAACTATTTGCACTTTATTTCCACCATTAAATATATTTACTTAATTTAAAGAATCGTTTTATCCTACAGTTTTAGGCAGAGTTGCTATTACTGCAAATAAAGATGACTTTAAAGTAGACTCAACTACTATGGAGGGTGCAGCATACATTGCAACATAAAAAAATGAAATATAAAAAAATATTTATCGTTTATAAATAACGTATTTATTTTAGGAAGTTAAACTCATAACATGTATGTTTACTAGCCACTGAAAAAGTAATTAAAGCCTTTAATTTTCTTTTTGATTTTAATGATAATTACTTACAGATATGAAAAAGAAAAACCATATCATAATAAAATATTGTTAAAAATGTATTGTAAAGTCATAGAGTCACAACTAATTAAATCAAACATCAGCCAAGTTTTCATGAACCTCTGAATTGTCTCTTAATCTGAGTCAGTATACTATCTATCATGAGGGAGACTGCTCACTGGATGCATGTGCAAAAGAACAGCCATAACGCACTCAATAAGGAAGTAAAGTCACAAAACTCATTGCTATAAAAGCTGGTTGTTCAAAGAATGTTTAAATATATTCATAGAAGAATGAGTGGAAGGAAAAAGTGTGCTAGGAAAACCAAAATGACCTATTTCATACAGGGTGTTTACAAGGTGAACAACATTGTATGATCTCTTCATAAACAAATGATAAAAAACAAAGAAGAGATATTCCGCAAATGCCAAACTAACTACTTTATTTCAGTTGAAAACAAATGTGGGGATGACGTGTAAAGCAGAATTAGCATTAATGCTGAAATATTTCACTGACCCGCCAATTTTTCAGTAGTTTCCCCTTAAAAAGCTCTTTTTCTCAATATTTAATATATCGAGATGCATCTATATGAATCTAAATATTAAATTTAATCACTTGACTCACTGAGTGTCTGCCAGAGAAGCTCGCGCACTCACCCAAATGGAAACGAACACGGCTGGAACACCTGGGATGAGCAGAAAGACTGATTAGTTTCACCAGCTATTATGTTTTTAGGCAATCACTGTAGTAAGAGGCTTTTCACTGAATCAGAATCTCCTTTGTGCACAATGAAGTTCACTTTGTGTTGGTCAAAACATTAAATTGTGTTATACAAGGATTTATTTACATAAAGGTGAAGCTGAAGTTCAGATTTTAGGGTGATGAAGTCAGAGGTTTCTCACCAACCTGGCCTTAGTATCAAATATACTATAATGGATGAACTTGTCTCTCAGAAGGGCGCACTTTCTAAATCAATATAACAATAGCCTCCATTATTAAACTTTTCTGATTTCTCCACAGTTGAAAACTTAAGCTGAAGCCATAGTTTAGAAGGAGGAGACACAGGATTAAAAGGATCTCCTTGATCACAGCTATTAGAAGGCTGGAAGGGAAAACAAGTTTTATAGATTATTTATAAACCCTGAAGATGTTCATGAAAATAAGGGAGATGTTACAAGATTTCAGGAATATCCAGTATTTACTGGCTGTGTTCTACATGTGTCTTTATGTCTAGACCAGGGGCCTGCAACCTTTAAGAGCTTGTTGCCCTCAGCGCAGCTAAATAAAATGCACAGCAGATGTTAAATTAATTTTTGAAACAGGATCATCTTTTTTCGATAAATATCTACTCTAATATTAAATTAGGTGAATAAAAAAGTTCCCTTTTCCAACCTAATAATTAGAAAAACTATCTTAAATAATAATAATGACAGTTTTAGTGTTACTTGATTATGAGAATACAATTCAATAATTCCATAAAAAATAAAATAAAAGCCAACAAAAAACATGCCAAAACCTACAACAGTTATTATAAATGTTTAAAAATATTACTTTGTCTTTTAATAATTTGTAGCCAAAGTTATTCAGGAGCTTTAACTTAAGGGCAATTTAGTTCCCTGGAGCTATAACCTTCGATATTCCTAAAAAAGAACAAGGCATGGTCAGATGAAACTAGATGTATATTTCTTTAAGCAATATTAACACAAGCTCTTTGTGTTAATACATAGGGGTGATTATTAGCATTGTAAACATGGTAGTGGCAGTATCATGATCTGTGGTTACCTTTCTTTAAGGGAAGACAAATTATAAACAGCTCTTAATGCCAGTCGTTCTTAACCTTAAACCTTAATTTGTATCCAAGAAAAGGATGAAGAGGAATTTTAGTTTTCAACATTACAGTAATTCCGGGTTTAATAGTCCAGGCTTTTGAATTCTGAACATGCATAGCTAAAAGTAACAGGATTATAAGTTGTAGCCAGAGCAATCAAAATAATAGGGGGAGTGGTGGCCTGGTGGACAGGGCACTGTGCTTGGAATCCACAGGTTCTGAGTTCAAGCCCCACTCCCACAGACTGCCACTCTGGGTCTCTGAGCAAAGGCCCTTAACCCCACACTGCTCCCTGGGCGCCGCACAATGGCAGAGAGAGCCCACCCATCCCCTTGGTTATGGGTTAAATGCAAAAAGTTAATTCGCTTGCTCTGTATTTGTGACAGTTAAATGACAATAAAAGCTGAAAAAAATAAAAAATAAATAAATTATAGCATCAGAGGGGGTCACAAATGGGGCAGTAAATATATATTTTATTAGAAATGTGTAATTTTGGAGCAAACCAGCCAGAATCTATGTGACAGCCTGCTGTCACACTCTGAAGCTGTGTGGTAACTTTTACATTTTTCATTTTCAAAATGAGTTGCACATTTCATATATTTTCATTTTTTTGAAGTGCACACATTTAGTTAACTTTATTTGTCAGTTTTTTTTTTTTTTTTTTTTTTTTTGTCAAGATGCAATTGATTAATTAATTTTTTCTTTGAGTTGCCAGTTTCCTTGGGATCTGCTGCTGGAGAGCTGCATTGAGCTCCAGCTTTCCTTAATTAGTTATTGCAGGCTAATCAGCAGGTCAAACCATTTGTAATGGGAAGGGAAATATGTTTATCATTTGTTTAAATATTCATAGTTTGGGTAATTTTGTTAATTAGTTAAATTTTAAAAAAAATATTTAATGTCTGGCCAGTATTTATCTGTTTAATTAAGTTTACTTGTTTATTAGTGTGTTAGTCAGTTACCCCCCTTGTGTGTCAACAGTGGTCTGATCAGCCACTATTTAAGTTTCCTTCATGTCCTGTTTGTGAGGTCAGTCTTTGCTTGAGTTCTTTATGTTAAAGCCTGAATTGAATTCTGTTTTGTTGACCTCTGTTTTGGGGCCCAGTTTATCATCAAGACTTTTTTTTTGAAAAATTTCAGTGGTTTTCTGGCTGATTTGTGCAAATCCCTCACAGTCTAGAAGGAAATATGACTGAACATCTGTGTGGTCAGCAGCCCGTTGGGATACCACTTACCCCAGCCCATGATGGTAAGGGCCCAAAGGTAGTTCTTGTCAGACAGAAAAGCCATAAAGATGAGGCTGTGGAGGTACAATCCCTCCACCAGAATCCAGTAATGATTGGTTGCCAGGAAATAGAGGAAGAGAGTAACAGCAGCTTTACAACCAGCCTGATGGCACACAAAAAACAGCGGTTACTGGAAAGAATCAACCCATTAGCTTAAGTTTTGTTCAAACACTGGAGCTGATGATTGTTTAATGGTTGTAAAATTGGTTATAGAGTATTTATTACTTAGTATTTGTAAGTTCTTATCTAAAGCATCCATCCTGTGAATTAAACAAATTTTCTCCCACTATGTTCAACAAATATATTTACACATTTCAAACTTTACTATTAACTTCACTGTTAAGCAAAACATTGTACTTATACTTTGGACACAGCACGGTTGATAAGGTTATGAAAACTAAATAAATGCTGTGTTTTTGTTTTTACCATGGGTGGTTTCACTGCTGTAAACTCGGACTCAGCTCTGTTGGCATCAGATACGGAGTAGAGCACAGCGTCCTTCACAAAGATGCTAACAGCTCGACAAATGAAGGAGGTGAACAGGTGAATGTGAATGTAATTGCGTGTGCAGTGGAGGCGCCTGGGAAGAGTTTGTGGAATAAAAAGAAATAGTCAAAACCAGGGCAATTTAAATGATCAATACAGCCTATAACTGTACATTACTCCATAAAGATAAGATGGTCCATTAAATTTGTTTGGGGTTTTCTCTAGAAAGTAATAGTATCTCCTTCTAACATTAATGTTGCAGTAAAATGTATTGACTGCTGCTCCTTTTCTGTCTGAGCCATGTGATCTATCAGGCTCTGGGCAGTTTAAAAAGCAGCTGAAACAAAAGTAATAAAAAGTAAAGAAGATCAAACAGAGCTTCATCATGTTTTAATCAGAAAAAAGCGTCTTTCATTAAACATTTAACTGAAAGAGTATTGGAAAAGCTTTAAACAAATAAGACAAATACTAACCAAACTGCTCCACATGTAATTATCAACGGGAAGAGCAAAATGTGACTTATTGAAGACTGTAGCTTTATTGATTGATAAGTTGATTGATTGACTTCATTGATTTCACAGTGGAGAAATGTATTAGTTACATTGTCTCAATAGTCAAAAAGAAGAAGAAGGTGCTAAAAGGAGGAAAAGGTGCATGGGGGTATATACAGTACATACAGTGCATCCACAAAAATATAAATGAAATATAAATCCTTATTTAGCAGGATTATTATAAAGGGTTATTGCACAGGGTGACGAAATGGGTATATATTTAAATATGGGTATTTATATATATAGCTATTGCACTGGGCACCAAATATAAAAAAAAAATGCATTAAGCCAGATGAATGTTACTGTGAAAATTAAATGGATAAGCCCATATTAGTTATCAGAACACGAGAGACGTTTCTTTTTTCCTTTTTTTTGTTGATTTTTTGCGGTATGTTGAAGTTGGTCTGCAGAAACAATGCTTGGGATAAAACATCTGCTGGTGTCAAAGAAAAACTACAATCATTGGCTGCACCATTCATTACTTTAATGTTAAGCATGTAGGAGTTATTTTAAATGAAATGCGTTTTTTTTTTTGTTTTTTTTTTACTTATTGCAATTTCAAGCTAAATATATTGTATATGCATCATTAATTTATTTGCCTTTTTTAAACCTTATAATGAGTGGCTGTTGTAGGAGACATGGTGCATAGCTTAAAAAGAATCTGATCAGGATTTAAAATCTCTCTTTTTTTATTTTTCTTACTTGAAATAGCAAAGGATGAAAATGGCCACCAACAATGATGCCAGAGAAATGGAGTAACCAACAGTGTACATGAGGTGGAGCCGCTGAAACACCTTCTGGAACAGAAGCAAAGCACTTTTCACAAGCAAATATTGATAGAGATATACAAAAAATTTGATGGTAGATTGCAGTTTATTATAATTCTGAAATATCCATGAGTTTGAGTTTGTTTTAATGGGGCAGTATTTTCATCATTGCATCATGATGAAAAATTGCATCATTGCTGTTAAAAAACTGATCAAATGTAAGAGAACATATTCCTGTACGCACCTCCTTCACATTTCTGTGGTTTGAGGTCAAGTACCGGGTGCACTCCGTGTAGTTTGCCCATGTGCGGTTGTTACTGGGCTCCAGCTCCCAGATCCCTGACACATCACACTGGCGGTAGGCTCGTCCTGATTCACAGGTGGGCATTAGACAGTGACAGGCAGAACAGCTCACACAAAACAGAGAGCTTCCTGAAACAGCTAAAGAACTGTTTAAATCCTGCCATATTGTCAATATGTGTGTGTTTCCGTGGCGCTCTCCTACCTTTGTGGTTGAAATCATAGATGTACGCTGGACACTGCACTGAGACAAGCTGGCCCGCTCTGCTTCGAGGCCAACAGATAATCCCATCCCACTCTGGAGCACAATCCCCCTCTTTAGAAATGATGAGAAACAAGATGTACCCTTATTAAGGTGAATTCAAAGTGAAAAGGTCTGATTAGGTTTTACTAATTATTATCATCTCCTATATTTCCAAAAGACAACTTTAAAATGCACATAAAAAGCTATAGTGATTTAAATGCCTTGTTGTACCCAAATGTTTACCATGTCCAATGATTGAAGCAGTATTCGAATATGTTGATACAACATTCTAATAATAGGGTAAAAAAAAACGGGAACACTCCTGTGGTTACTCTGCACTAGACTGAGAGCCTGAAAATAAACAAGGATCATTGCAGAAGGACCTGCCACCCAAACATTTGTTAGCAACACCTGTCATGCACACACATTCATTAACAATCTTAGTAAAGATGGATTAAAAAAGGCCTCAAAACAAATGAAAACTTAATAAGATTGTTATTTAAAATTCTACTGCCATGTCATTAAAAAATTTTTATGCAGCCTTATGTTGCATATTATATGCTTCTTGAAAAG